GCCGGGGTCAGGTGCGGCTGATCAGTGGCACGCTGGTTTTTTGAGAGGCAGCAGCTCCCAGCTTCAGCTGAATTAGCGCTTGCTCACCTTCCCTCTAATACAGGAAAGAAAAATGCCTCCTGCTACCTTGTTGTGGAAGGGTTGCCAGGCCTTGCTCTAGTCCACTCTTCGTACCAACGGAGCGTTGCTCTCTAAGGCTTATTGCTTGGTGTTCAGTTGAAACTGGCTCTGAATGTCCAAAGCAGTGGGATTTCCTCTCCTGGGAAGTACCGCAATATAGAGACTACATTTCACCTTTTCAAATATCACTTTTATTTATCCCTTTATTGTACTAACCAAATCCTTGGTTTGCTTTATGATGATGCCACCTAAATAGATAGAAGGATACGAGGTGGGATTCCTCTCCCCTAATTTTCGTCACCTGAAAGCTGGACATCTAGGTAAAGCTCATCATCCTCAGTGTGACCTCTTTTGGTAATGGCTCTCTGGGGTACTAATCAATCTGTGGATGGGCTGAGTTGCCTGTGAGAGCCACGGCTACCTTAGACTAAGCCTGCAACTTTTACGTGTCTGAAGTTACTCACCGTTTTGGGGAGTCGTCAGAAACCTTTTGAAGATGGCTTTGAATTCTCCTTTCCCCCTTCTTATTGCCGCTTGTGAAATGGATACCCTTGCTTGAGTCAGCATCTGTGACACCAACTACATCCTCCCTTTCACAAGATCCTATTTTAAGCTTTGCATCAGAGGCTACGGCTATTTGTGTCATTGTCAAAACGCTTCAAAAGGTCTGCTGACATTGACGCTAGGTCTCTTAAAAGCCAAAGGTTCTGCAGTAACATAAATAGGATCAGCAGCACGAAGTGCAGGTGAAAGAAAAGCCAGCTGCACATCCTTTCTGTCTCCCCTGGCAACAGCATCCTGCCAACAAAAACTGCTGCCAAGTAGAGGCTGGAAAGGAAGGGATGTGCGTTCGCAAAGCTGGGGCTGGACAAGCTTTGTATGTGTGTGGGGGGGGAGCTGTCAGACCAAGAAACACTCATGTGCTTTTAAAATTATTTTTGGTTTGTTCCACGTCATTTTGGACGAGGGAACGCACAGAGCCTCTGTCCTTATGACGAGTTTTCATCTGAAATTCCAGACGCCGGTCTCTGCAGGTTTGAGCCATATGTTTCCATCCATGACAGCACCCAGGGAAGAAATCTGTAGTGAGTTACTACTTACAGATGTGGCAAATCCTCCAGCAAAGGTTAAAATACGTGGCATGGTTCTCTTGTTACGCCAGCTGCAGCTTTGTGCTAAATCATTGTTTCAGCAGCAAGCTCTTAATCAGCCCTGAGTTCTAGAAACTGCTAAACAAGCTGATATTTGTAAAGACCAATTTTTTTTTTTTTTATAACTCACTAAATATCTTTCTTTAGAAAAACCTTGAGAGTGGAAACAGTAAGGGTGAAAAGTGAAGTGTGAATGGCAGGGAGAAAAGGAGCATCAGCACAAGAGCACAAAAATGCAAAGCAGATTTAAGCTTATTATTTCTACTCTGTCTTTCCGTGTTCTCCATGAAATGATCATGGCTGTGAAAACAAGAGTTTGTGTAACTAGGGGTAAAATAGCCTTGTGATATAATATATCCACCCGCCTAGCCTTCCTGGTAGGGACTTCAGTCCCCAAAAATCAGTGCTGGGGTCACTGTCGGAGGCCCCATAGCCGTCAGTGCTGCCGAACCTCAAACCTATTGTCACAGCATCATTCCCTTCTGATTTGGCCACAGCGTCGAAAAAGAAGTCTGGCTGCAACATGCTTGTATCCAAGGCCTGAAAAAAAGGAAGATCTTCTCACCTGGTAGGATAAGAGAGAAGAAGGAACTGGCTTTTCTCTCTAGCAAAATAGGAGGAATTAATTTGGTGAGGAGGCTGTATAACAAACTGCTCGGGCTGTTGCAGCAGCCCTGGATACACCAGAGACTCTGAACCGGAGGCTGAGCCGTGGGGATTGCCCTCGGACTCCTGGGGGCTCCTCGCTGCTCTCAAGAAGCCCCCGACTTGTTGCTCTCTTACCGTTTCCCCGTGCCCTTTGAGGCGTGGGTAGTTGGCTGCAGAGGGCACAGCTTTGTGCTCCCCGGGCGGTGAGTTCTCCCAGCCAGCCAGCTGTGCTGGAGAGAAGGAGAGAAACAGAGAAAAGAAGAAATGGAAGAAGGGAGGCAGGATTATGGCTTTAGGAATCACAGGATCTGTGGACTTCTTTCTGGTTACAAAGCAGAAATTGCCCATTCACCACTGAGGAGTGAAGAATAAAATACAGAACGCGCGTTTCGATGCCAGGGAAGGAGAGGGAGAGAAGATGATCACTATTTCATTCCCCCTATTTTCCTCTGACGGGAATATTAGTATCCTTAGAGATAAGTGAACAAAGTGGCAAGTCAGGTGGAGGTACAGAAGCAGGAGGTAGATCTGTAAAATCCATCCACACACAAAAAGCGAGCGGCGGTGCCGGAGGGAGGGCACTCTGCCTCGAAACGGGGACTGAACAGCCTCACAAGGGCGTGCAGCTGGGGTGCTTGTTGCTGTTTTGTTCCCAGAAAACGAGAACTGCCAGCAATCCTCTGGCATCTGAATAGACCCGTGTCAGACAAACTGTATCTGGACTTGATGGGAAACCAAGCTGGAATACCAAGCAGCCCTTCGATCTGCTGGCAGAGAGGGGGACTGGCTCGGTCAGTAATCCTGCCTTGCAGTTGCGAAGGAACTCTGTAGAGGAGCGAGCCCTCTCGCTGCGCAGCCCCGCCAGACACGCCTGCCGGGGCTGCCTCTCTCCTCATTCCTCCAAACCGCTTCCAACAATAACAGCAACTCCCTGCGTGCAGCTCAGCTGCCTCCTTAGGGAGAAGATACGTTTTTTTCCTTTTTCTGCTGAGGGATGCGGCTTCCAAATCTGTGCGATGTGAGCAGGTGAGGATGTCTGCTGACAAGTCCAAATGTTCTTTTCAGGTAAGTGATTACCTTGAACAAGCAGCTAGAGTCAGGCTCTCTCTGTTTATTACCCTCCTCTTGGTAATTACTGTTGTCCTAGATTGTCAGCGAGCCTTTTCACGAGGTTCAACAGCTCGGGTGTCTGTATATATTTAGCTGACTAGGGGATCTGAAGCGTTTCTAAAGCACCTATTCCCGTAGTATCTGCAGGTCTCTAGTGCAGCGCGAGAATGAATTGGGAGCTGCCGGCTCTGCGGCTGCACGACACGGTCCTGTTGAACTCCCTGGGGCACCAGAAATTCATTTTGATTTACTGGCTTACTCTCTCAAAGTCTGTGATGGAAGTACATCTTAGAGGCAATAACAGCGTTCTGCAGTGGTTTTTAGGTCGTTAAAGGACCAGGACGCCTTGCCACATGAAAACGGTGGCTACCGTTACTGTTGTTGCACAGGGAGCGTCAGCGAGTGCTGCTTACTTTGTGTTTGTACGTGGGATGTCCAGAGCTTCTGCTGCCGCTGTTTTCTGTTACTGCGAATAGAGCTGATGTTACTCTGTGTGTCGCGTTCCCTGCGTTTTACCAAATTAATACCTTGTGTGACGAAGTTGGGGTTGATTGCTCTGTCTAATGCTTATAAGGGAAAACAGACAATAACTTGTAAGTTAACATCTGGGAGTTCTGGCATGACAGTGACTGATAGACAGGCAGGGAAGAGAAATTTGTCTACGCAGAGCAACCTACTTTTTCTTCGCTCAGTTCTGCCACCGACCATGGAGATGAAATTTGCTTAACTCTTTGTTTGTACAAAGGCTGCTTTATTGTGAGTGAAAATCATATTACTTTGACAGATGACAAAGAAATGACCGCAACAAAAATGGCCATAACAAAAGTAATAATGTGTACTTTCTGCACAATTTCCGTCTATTAGAGATTCATTTTGCTCCCCGTAACATTTTAGGTTTTACGAGAGACACGTGAGAAGTTAATAGTGTCGTGAAGAAAGCTTTCATTGCAATAACATTGCTGTTGCTCTGACGGGGTTTTGCACAACCTTCTCTCACTGTTAGTAAGTCAAGACTGTTAGATACACCGAGAGACTTCAGCATCCCATAGACTGCCCCTGCGCGCCCAAGCTCTGGGTCCATAGATAATGGTCCTTTGTAGGATGGCTCCCTCCCTTTGCTTCCCTCGCCCACGGCAGCTGAAATAATGAGTCCGGCGGTAGGTCTCCGCACAAAAAGCTCTTCCTGGAGCAGAAATGTTTGCCAGGTACTGCTCAGGGTGACTCTGTTTGTCTTGCTGCCAGGTCCAAGGTAGCAGAGGCCAGAAGGGGTCAAACACCAGACTGAGCTCATTGCGCACATTTGTTTGCTGTAGAAAATGCAAATGTGCAGCTCAGAAGTTTCCATTGTATCTCTGGCAATTAGGACTTGGTCCAAAGCCCGCTAAAGTCGTTGGGAAGCTTTCCGCAGGCTTTAGATCAGAAGTTACGTAAATTTGTGTTGTTTAAAGGGGGTGCTCGGGGAGACCGAACCCGTGAGCTGACTCGACGGCCAGACGCCTGCTCTGCCATGTCATGCAAAAAGGCTGTCCTCTAAGTGCCCATCAAGTGTCCCAGCAATATTAACTCCTAAATGAAGGCAGCGCCAGGCAGTTTTAACTCCTAAATGAAGCCTTTTGATGTTGTCTTATGCCAGGGCACTGGCTCCTAGCGGGGACTCCCCAGGCCTGGAGATAAAAGTCAAAGAAGGTCAGCTGCTGGGGCCCAAATCGCTTTGTTTTTTCTGGTTTGGAGGGAGACAGTTCTGCCTCCTGCGTGCAAATAAAGGGGTCGTGAGGAAGTTCCCAAACGGTAGGACCCTGTGGATTTCATAGTTTGGAAAAGCAAAATGTTCCTAAGCCCCAACTTTTCTGAGACTTGCTGAGGACATCAATCGCAGCCTTTTAAAACATTGCTGTAAAGGAACTCCTTCATTTTCTTCACGTACACAACTGTGCACACCACTTCGGGACTCCTTGTGTGAGTGTGCGATGGGAAGAAGCACCGCAGGGAGCTCCTGTTGAGATTTGAACCATTGCACCATGTTGTCAGGAAGGAGTTTTATGGCTAAATGCACATCGGTACACTCTGCGCCCACCCTGCTGTCACTCTGCTGTGCTTCATCCTTGAGTTAATTCATTCAGTGCTTAATATTCCCTTCTTGGTGCGCTATGCAAGACCACAGGATGACACAGTTCACACCGCGGAGACGTCAGGTCCATCAGCCTTCTCATTAGCGTTGAATGGTTTTAATGTAGTCATAAAATTAGAGTCCAAATGTGGGAATTTGACACACAGCATTTAAAAGCCTAACCAGTTTGACCCCTGCTGAGCATGAGCTCCTATACCTTAGAAATGGCCCTTTGTGAAAAAACTTAATGGTGTGAACTGACCTTTGAAAATACAGTTAATTATTATTATTTGCTATAATGTGCTTCCATCAGTCTGCATTACCATCACGCCGGCAGATAGTAAGGCCCGCCAGTCCTGACCTCAGAGGGCTCACGCTCCAAGTAAGATCAGTCCTAAGAGTCTTAGGCAGCCAAAACTGAAGGATTTTGGTAAAGGGCTGCAGGACTGCGCTTTGAACTGACCAGGAACATCTGCTATGTACCATCTCACCTGGGATATCCAAACTTTGGCCGTGACAACTTGATAGCAACCAGGAGATTTCCTTTCAGTGGTAGTCTGATGGAGGGTCAACTGGGGCACGTGGGGCCGATTGGCGGCGTACCCACCACGGCCCTCTTCTCAGCGCGGGTGCCTTTGTGAAGCAGAGAGAGAGGTTGGGAAGGGAAGAAATTTGAAGGGGTCATTTAAGTCCGTTTCTGTGACAAATGCCTCCTGTGCCTTAGTAGAGAAATTCAGAATATCATTTTCCTCGGCTTAAGCCAAAGTGTCCAAACAGGGCGGTGTAATAGCAGGGACCTCAATAAGAGTTCCACTTTGTAAGACGTTGCATATCCACAAGTGATAAAAAAGTAAGCGGGAGCTCTGGGCAATTGGGTCACCACAGATCCAGCCCGAGCATGTTAGGTGATGATGCAGAGCATCTGAAAATATCAATTCCAGCTTTACTTTTGCTTTCCAGTTGGCTGTTGATCAATTATAAAGCAAATTTATTCCATTTAAAAGGGCCAGCGAAGCCCACTGTGAAGCCCTTATTATCAGCTGGTTCTCCCTAAATATAGAGCACTGGCTATTTTTACAATGATCTACTAAGCTGAGTATTTTTTCAGTAGTTAGGGGTACAGATGAGTACCCGAAGGAGTTACTGTGGTCCATTCAACCAGTAAAAAAAAGCCCTAAGAAGCTGTAGCTTGTGGGGCCACAGTGGCTCTGCAGAGGCTGTTAAAGGGAGTCTAGCAGATGAGCAAAACCTGACTGCCACAGCCTGAGACAGCCAAATGTCATGGGGCTTATTGTTTATTGCCCGATAAATTACTTCTGACGTAGTATTTCCTTTGAATAATTATTCATACTTCACAAGCCACCTAAAGGTACTAGCTAAGTGCATCTGGCTTCCCGTGCCTGATGTGTGGTGACCTCCTACCACAACAGACTGCCCCAGAGAGATTATAAATCTTTATCGCAGCAGGCTGCTGATTTATCAGTATTTCAAGAAGCGGAGATGGATATTAGGTAGGTTTTTAGCCAAAGAGCAGGGTTTCTAACCCCAGGGCACAATATGCAGAAAAGCCGACGGCTTCCTTGTTCCTTAAGGAATATCCTGGAGAAAAACATTAACCCAATAGACATGTTCTTCTGCAGGTGAGGTGTGAGAGAAAGTAGTTACGCCAAGAACATCGAAAAATTTTAGCAGGCATTACCATCATTATAATCTAGCGTCTTGTAAGATCTGCCAGTGCACTTTATCTTGTGTGCTCAGAACAGTAGGCCTAAAGGTTCCTGAAACATTATCTCCACACACCAAATCCAAAATAAATTGTCATCCTTTCCTCTTTGAATTTGTTCTGCGGCAGCAACTTGTCTTGGCATGAAATATTAGCCATATGGACACTAGAATATCTGCTTTGACCTTGACCTCAGAATAAATGCTGCCAAAAATGTGGAGATAACTCCTGCCTTTCGTTTCCAAGAGTGATGCTCCACGAGTACAGCACGATCTGCTCTCCTGGTTGCATCTCAGTGTACAGACTTATGTTTTTGTCTTTGACTAGGTGTTCTGCTAAGAGCATATTGTCTGTGGCTGGCTAGGAACTGGGACACAGTATCCCAGATGATGGTTTATTTGGCAGAGATATTTATTTCAGAAATTAAAAAAAAAAACAAACCAAGAGCCAATTTTAGCATCAGGCAGTGGAAAGTGCATTGCTTGTAGTTGGCTCTCACTACGTTATCCAGTCAGGGTTTTCATCTTCTGGACACTCTGTGAAGTACCAAGAGGCTGCTGGGGGCAAGATGAGGTGACTGTTGTTGGTTGCAGAGCTCTGCGCCGTTGTGGTCCAGAAATGATGGTCAGTGATGAAAGCAGAGCAGTTAGCTGGGTAAGAGGAACAGGCACTGCTCCTTTGGTGAGTTTTTGCTACCTGTATTGCACTGCTTGCGAATGGGTGTGAGTGGTGCACAGGATTCAGAATAAACATAGTTCATGGCGTTTGCATCTGCCCAACCTGCAACAGAGCCCTGGGGCCCAGGAGACACCTAATCAGAGATCCGCTTTCGTTCTTCCAAGCCTCTGTCTTCCTTTCCTGCTGGTGCCCATAACAGATATTTCCAAGTAGGGTAGAATTAATGGCATAAGGATGCTCACAGAGAGAGCTGGCAAGCCTGGGAAGGGTGGAGAAGGGGGCAGGAAGGTGCTCCGCCGTCTTGGCTGGAAGGTGGTCATTGCCCAGTTTGGAATCCTGCAGCTTTGAAGAACTCGTCTCCCTGATTCGTTAAGACTGTGACAACTTTTTTCACCTTGACACCGCTGGTTGAAATTTGCACTAGCACAGTGCTGCTGGGGCCAGCTGAGGATGCTCGGTGGACCGTGCAAGATGGATTTATTCCGTGTGCTTCCTAGTGGGCAGAGATCCACGTCACACTCGACAGCTTCAACATATGGAAACGTTGACGTGTGATTGATGTGGTCCCTGCAGGTCACGCTAACTCACAGTGTGTTAGCCCTGCATCCCGGGGAGGCTTATGCTACTGCAGCTGCCCGTGTCCATTATCCGGACTAGGAATAAATGGAAGAATTGATGTTCCCAGCAGTGAGAATCGGGCACCTCATAAAATGCTGTGCGCTACAGAGGGTGGCGGGAGGCAAATTTCACACTGTCAAATCCCACAGCTCCTGTGAGCAGAGAACAGGTTACAACCAAACATTTGTATATGGGTGCGAAGGGCGGTTGTGCTAGATTTGAGTCAGACCCCTAACAATCACATGGCTTTTTTAAATGGCCACGATAGCTCTTTTTTCTTGTTCATTTTTAACATTTGGAGATTTTCCCCATTTCATACTCTAAAATAAGTGACTAGATCTTCCAAAGTTGCTAAGTAAAGGACAGCATATATAACCCAGGAAGCCCTCTGATCAGACATCCCTTCTTGACCTAATTTTCGGCAAGGGCTGAGCAGCTGCTCTCTCAAAAACCAGATTGCTTAATGGCATCCAAGGCTGGAGGCAGCCAAATTTAGGATTTTACAGCCAAAAGAACGAGCAGACTAAGGTTCCCCATAATGATGCGGACATTCTCTAGAGGCCTCCTGGCCAAAAGGAAATTGAAAACGTCTTTTGTTTCGACACCTAAAGAGTAGGATGCTTTGTGGCTTCTGCGGGGAAATCACCTGCCTGTGGCGCTTCAAAGCCTGAGCCCATACCCCAAGCTCCTCTCTCCCTTTGCTGCAGAGGTTCCCTGCCACCTTCCCGTTCCCACCTCACCGCTCCCACGGCCACAAGGCCACCCCAGCCCCTGTGGATTTTCCTTTCTCTTCCTCCTTTCTCAGAGAAGCCGACAAAGTTGGATGCTAACTCTTCTGTCCTTCTGCAGAACGTGGATGGTATTCCTTCCTGCCAGACGTCCAAGCCGTGCCGTTCCCTGTCCGCTGGTCCCTCCCCGGTGTCTCACCCTCTCTCTGTGTTTTTTTTTTCCTTCCAGGTGTTCTACTGATCTTGGCACTGACAGAAGAGCTGGTGTTTTCTGTTCAGGTACTGTCTCCCACTGTCTCCTCCTCTCAGGGCTTCCCGATGGACACTACTACCGCCACAGCCATGGGAACACCACCTCGCCACAAAGACCACCACGCGACAGAGCCCCTTCCCACGTCCGCTCGCGCCATCCCCCATCCCGTCAGCCTGGCGGAGAAAACCCCTTCCACTGGGCAAAAGCGAGCGAGCGACCCTCGCGTCGGCAAAAAGGAAACGTATCATTTATACAACCAGAGTGCTTTGTACTCGGGACAGACTCGCCCCAAGGGGAAAATATTCCAGGTCTTCAAAGGCAACTTCACAGAGTCCTCGGAGCCTTACCTAAAGACCACCCTGCACTCTCCCTTCCCTGCCCTGAGGAGCCCTTTCACAGACCACCCCTTTCAGTCCCAGACCGCATCGGCCAGCAACCCGAATGGCACGGGGCTGGCAAGAACTACACAGACAGACCCTTCTCCCCACCGCCACGCCTCGGGAAGCCTTAGGGAAGCAGAGCGAGGGGACGGGGCCGAGCTAGTGCAGGAGGCAGATTTTGCCACCACAACTGCTGGGCCATCAACTGATCCTGAAGCAGTGTCGGTGCCTTTTAAACCCACCCACTACGGCGTATGGGATATGCTGAGCAAAAACAACTCTTGGGTAACCTTGAATCTCAGTACAAATGTCCCTCTGTTTGCTGGCCCTGGATCCGCAACAGCAGCAGCGGGTCACTCGGTTCAGACCAGTTTCGATGTCAGCATCTCCTCCCCGGCAGCGGGAGACCCCGAGGGCCCCGCTCCAACGCAGCACGGCCCGGTGACTAACGCGACCTTGCTGGGCAGCGCTCTCTCCGCAGCGCCTGCCACGAGGTTGTCCGGCTCCATTTCCACAGCTGGCTCCACCGCCACCGGGAACTTCCTAAACAGACTGGTTCCTGCCGGGACCTGGAAACCCGGGGTGCAAGGGAACATCTCCCATGTCACCGAGGGGGACAAACCCCAGCACAGAGCAACCATCTGTCTCAGCAAGATGGACATTGCCTGGATCATTCTGGCTATCAGCGTACCTATATCCTCATGTTGTAAGTTAATTGCTGCTTTATTTTTGCTTTCTCTTTCCTTAAAATTCAGATTTCAGCCCATGATTCAGGGACCCGGTGGAGAGCTAACAGAGGCAGGGCGGCTTGAGATGAATGGGAAGCAATCACTAGACAGAGATCACATTCACAGTCCAAAGTGCTCAGCTTCAAAATGCAGGGCTAGGATGTCTGCACTCAAAGCGCGCTTGGCTCTGTTGCTGTTAGAAATCACTTAGGCTTCTTGGGCCCTCCACTTGGGGACGTAACACAAGGCCGAACAACTCTAGAAGGTGAAGCGGCTTTACTTCAAGGTGTTTAAGCTGGTGATCAAAAATTGTACAAGTCTTTAATCTAGGAACCGCTATACGGTGCCCTGGCATTGAATTTAAAAATCCCACCGCTGACCCAAAGGATTAATGACGGTTGTAATGAGTAATACCTTAGGAAACACCCGTTTTCCAGCGCGATCAAATATCTCCTTGCAGGCAGTTCGTGAACTGTCAGAATTTTAAAGTCTGATAACCAAAGTGGTGGTTTCCTCCAGTGTAACTCTGACTTTGCCGCTGCCGAGGGAGCAGGGAGAGTCTGAAGCCCTGGCCACCCGCGGGACCAGGGCAGGCTGGGTTCCCAGAGCTGCCTTGAGGTCTCCTCGTTTGACTCAGTTACAAAAAAACACGCGAGAAATTCCGAGAAAGCTTGTGAGTGGGTGCTGGGGTGTCCCCTCCTTAGCTGGGTTACAAATCAGCACGGTGGGACAACGTTTTCTGTGGGGTTTCACTGTTGTGGGCTGTGATTGTGCTGGTCTGTCTGGAGTGAAACAAACCCAAACATTTCCCAGCCTTTTGCTGCCTGAGGAAACAGAAAAGGGCGGCCGCCAACAATGCAGAGTATTAATTCTGTTATTTACAGCTACAGGCTGTACGGAGGACAAGGCCGGACGAGCTGACCCAGCCTCGCACCCCGCTGACTCCTGCCGAAAGGGCCGGTGCCGCTCTCTCCCGGCCTCTCTGAGGTGCAGCCGCCTGGGCCTGCCCCTCTCCTCCCGCCCTCACACCTCCCTGAGACACTTCCAGATTGTTCGAGTGGCCCCAAAATAATTCATTTTGCTCTGTGGTGCTCCGCTCCTGGCAAGGTCAGATGAGCTCCGGACCAGGGGCGGCTGCAGGGATAGAGCCGCGGAGCGGGATCCGCACTGGCCCTTCCAGCAGCCGCCAGTGCCTGGCCTGGCCCAGCGCTGCCCGGCAGATTTGTACGGCTGGGACCGTCCGTTCTGCCAGCGCTGACGTGGTTAAAGCCACCAGCGAGAGGGAAGCTTAAACCTGAGAGGTGGACAACCCAAATAACGAGCAAACAAAGCAGAAGTGTGCGTACATCCTTCTGCCAAAGGTGGAGAGGAGAAATTGGGCTATAACAAACACACGATGGGAGAGAGCGGTATTTGATGATCAGTGCCTCGGCTATCCATCGGTAGAAATAGAGGGTCAGATAAATTCTTCCAAGCATTATGTTTTGGGCTGATATTCAGAAAGCAAGCCGATCTGGATAGAAGGCGTCCAAGTACAAAACACAAAATATAGCAGCATACAACACAAGCATAGGGAGCATAACCAGTGTGTAAACTGGTGTGTGTCTCTGCCTGCAGTATGCCATACACCAGCTAGTAACTAATGAGAGTTATTAACAATAACAATATGAAGACTCTGTTGGCAGGACTTCTAACCCACTATTCGTTAAACAGGGGTATTTAAACTTTTCTTCTTACCATATGTGCCATAACAGTATGTGTTCATATGTCTGAGCCTACTCTGTTTCTTGTATTTGTAAGCCACATTTTTTTAAAAAGGCAAATGTTACTTTGAAAATTATCTATACTGGCTCTAATACAACTGAGTGTTTCAGTGATTCAAATATTTAAGCCCTGCTTTCAGGACTAGATTTCTGAGGATGGGCTTCAGTGGGCCTCTCCTTTTAAAATCTGGAGATCCTCAGAAGTATTTCAGAGTGGGAATGAATAGAGGCAGGCAGATTTTTTTGTTTTTTGATCTGGCTGAAGTGCCTAGGGAATTGCTTTCATCCCAAAGTTATGCTCTTTAAACTATGCCGTGATAAATGCTGTTGTACAGGCAGAGGTTATTCCTGTAGGAGAAGAAAAAGGAGTTATAACAACCTAAGGCACTTTTACAAAGAGGCACATGGGCTGTGCGGTGCATGGTGTGAGGTGTGGGGAGTGGGGAGTGTGGTATGGGGTATGCAGTGTGGGGTG